ATAGCCTCATGAAATATAACTTGCATTCATTTTGCAGGGCTTAAAGATTTTGAATATAAAAAGTCCAAATGACTGATTTAGAGGAAAAGTTACCTTCCCCCTTTCAAGGCTAGTTCCTTCTTCCCTCTTTCCTCTTCCTTCTAGATTTTAGGATCCAAAACCTATTCTAAAAATTGTCACTCTTCTCATTATTTTCACAATCTTCATCTCCACTATTTTTCTCCTCAAAGTGTTCCTCATTTTTTGAAAAAATTCTAACTCCTTTTTGTTTAACCACAAGACCATAGACTTGCTTATTTAAAAATGTCAAGAGGGAATTAAAATAAGAGCAAAGACAGTTGGGTATCCAAATGGAAAACAAACTATAGAATTAGATCATTACATTACAATATATATAAAAGTAAATTATCAGTAATCATTGACCTAAATATGGAAGATAAATTAAATATTATGTACGAGAAGATCTTTATGATCTCAAGCTAGGCGAGATTTCTTATACAAGACAAAGTATAAACAAGAAAGAAAAAAAACTTGATAAACATGATTATGTTAAAATTAAGAACGTCTACTGATCAAAAGACATCAATAAGAAAGAGTAGGAAAAAAATATTTGTAATACATTAACCCTAAATGGCTCATTTCCAAAATATATACAGAGTTATCTCAAATTAATAAGGAAAAGCCAAACAATCCAACCAAAAATTGGGCAAAACACTTGGACATACTTGATAAAATATCTAAATGACAAATAAGCATATGAAAAACATTAGTTAACTTCATTAATAATCAGTGAAACAAAAAACTAAAACCACAATTAGAGACCATTACATACCCCCCTAGAATGGCTAAAATTACAAGGCTTGTCCATAAAAGTGTTGGTGAGTATGGTGAGCAATGGGAACCCTCATACAATGCTGGAGACTGTGAAATGTTCCAATCACTTTGGGAAAGTGCCTGTTTTTAATAAAGTTAAAGATACATATACTCTATGATCCAGGAATTCCATTTCTAGATATACAGAAATGCATGCTTATGTTTAACAGTATACATGTATAAGAATGTAGTATGCTCATAATAGTCCCAAATTAGAATCAACACAAATGACTTCATAGTATACACTGTGAAATATTCATACAATGGAATATAGTGAACAATGAAAATAAATGAACTACAAGTACATGCAACAACATGTATAAATCTTATAAACATCTTGTTGTCTGGAAGAAGCCAGACACAACAGAATACATGTTGCATGATTCCATTTACATAATGTTAAAAAATGGGCAAAAGTAAACTAAACTGTTTAGGGACGCTTAATTAGGAGTTAGATCTACAGAGGAAAGTAAGGAAGTGAAGATGGTTACCACTGGCGGTTGGAGAGAGAGAGGAGGGATCATGGTGGGAAAGGGGCCAGGAGCTTCTGGGGACTTTGTTACTTGACTAGGTGATGGTTATATAGATGTTTGCTTTGTGGCGATTCACCAAGCTATATATGTATTTATTTTTTACTTTTCTATATGACTGTGACATTTCACCTTAAAAAGATTAAAAAGACAGTTCCGGCAAAATGGTGCTCTAGGCAGAAGCACCACTCTGTCCCTCCACAGCAAAGATCCAAAAAACTAAGCTGAAAAGGGAATACAACAATCCTGAAACCCTAAAAGATCAAATGAAGAGATAAAGAACTCAGCCAAGCACCAAATGGAGTGAGAAAACTGACCGAGAACGGACAGTGAGGAGAGATTCATGCAGAGGTCCCCTACCAGCTAACGCGGCACAGATCCGCCATCTTGGACTCCTATTGGAGACCAACAAACAGGAGGTACGAGAAAACAGCCTCACGGAGCGTCCAGCGGGAGACAAAACAACCGGTAATTTGCCATATATGCTTTCCCACCCCTGCCCCTTCTTCACCCCGACTCGACCACCTCTGCTTCCCGCGGCCACAATCTCTTGACTGGGAAACATTGGTTGCTTGGATTCCACACACCCGAAAGGGCCGGCTCTCTGAGTGCCATTTGTTGGCTGCTGGTGTTGCTTTTTTTCTGCTTTTTTTGATTTCTTCCTTACCTTTCACCAACTCCCCCTCCTTTCGCTCAAATACCTGGCTCCGTGCGCCATCTTTGCTTCTTCCTGAGGGGCTGCAGTGCTCCGGTAATTTGTGATATACGCTTTCCCACTCCCTACCCTTCTTCACCCACACTCGGCCCCCTTTGCTTCCCCCGGACACACTCTCTTGTCCGAGAAACACCAGCCCGCAGTAGCTGGCTCTCTGAGTGCCATTTGTTGGCTGCTGGTATTGCTTTTTTTTCTGCTTCTTTTGATTTCTTCCTTACCTCTCGCCACCTCCCCCCCCTTTCGCTCAAATACCTGGCTCCAAGCGCCATCTTTGCTTCTTCCTGAGGAGCTGTGGAGCTCCGTTCGAGTGTGGAGCTGCTGCCCGGGGCTTTTGATCATTTGTTTGTTTTGAATTGTTTGTTTTCTTTTCCTTTTCTTGAGTTGGGAGCCCTTTCTGGCCAGGCGGTGCTGAGTGGGAAGGAGACTTCCCCCTCGGCTTACACACACGTACAGAGGAATGTCTGAGGGCATTTCTTTTTTCATTGGCTTTTTTTTCCTGTTTCTTTGGAGGGGCCTTTTTGTTTTTTTTTTTTAATTTGTTTTGTTTTCTTTTCCCTCTTTTACCCTTTTTGTCTTTCTTCATTGCTCAGTTTCTCACCTCTCTATATCTTCCTTCTCTTTCTGTTCCCTGAATACCTGGCGTTGCAGACCTCTACGCCTTCTAGCCAGGCTGTACTGCAACACTTGAGAGCGACTTCCCCAGACCTCATAGCTGCAAGGGTGGGATCCCTGGGAACTCTGCGGTTCTTTAACCTTCCCGATTTTCATTTATTCATTTTCTTTTCTTTTCTTCCTCTTCCTCTTTCTGTTTTTCTCCATTTCATAGTCTCTCATATCTCCACTCCAATGGCAAGCTCCCCTAGCATTCTTTTTTGTTTGTATGTTTTCGGCTCCTGTTCCTCTCTCCTCTCTCCCATATCCATCTTAGCTCCACACATAACAATGTCCACCCTGCATTCTGCCTACCTGCACTGTGCGCTTGACATCACACCACCAAGCAGCACAGGCATAGCCTACTGGAACCTGCCCTGCACTGATTACCGACCCACTCTGGTGGCTGTAGTAAGTCCCACAAACAACCCATCCCAGTAACTCCTCTTCAGCTAGACCTGCC